CAACAGTGTAGGAGGGTTCCCCTTTCTCTGCATCCTCTCCAACATTTGTTGTTTCCTGACTTGTTAATTTTAGCCATTCTGACTGGTGTGAGGTGGTATCTCATTGAGGTTTTGATTTGGATTTCCCTGGTGCGGAGTGATGTTGAGCACTTTCTCATGTGTCTGTTGGCCATTTGGATGTCTTCTTTGGAAAAAATGTCTGTTCATGTCTTCTGCCCATTTCTTGATTGGATTATTTGTTCTTTGGGTGTTGAGTTTGAGAAGTTCTTTATAGATTGTGGATATTAGCCTTTTATCTGATATGTCATTTGCAAATATCTTCTCCCATTCTGTCAGTTGTCTTTTGGTTTTGTTGACTGTTTCCTTTGCTGTGCAAAGGCTTTTTATCTTGATGAAGTCCCAATAGTTCATTTTTGCCCTTGCTTCCCTTGCCTTTGGCGATGTTTCTAGGAAGAAGTTGCTGCGGCCGAGGTGAAGAGGTTGCTGCCTGTGTTCTCCTCTAGGATTTTGATGGATTCCTGTCTCACATTTAATAGACTCCTCTCTTCTAAGCAGGTTATTGCAGCAACATTTTTTTCCCAGAATCAAGTCCATCTTGGACCTTTTGCCACATTGACTTTTCTGAAATACTTTAATCTGAACCATCCAAACTCTATCAGACTTTTGGGACCCTAACACACAAATAACAGAAAAAGAACATATATTCCCCACCTTATTATATCTAATATCATTCTTTCTCCATGATCTGCTTTTAGTTCTGTCAGCTTCTTTTAGTTTTTCAAAACCATTGTACTTATTTCTACCTTATTGCATTTAGCTATTTTTGTGTGTCTTTTATCAGTGTTCCCTATGACAGGCACCATACTGGGTCCTTATTTGTGCCCTTCTGCCTACCTGACATGTCTTCCTTACCCTTCCCTATTTCTGTCAGTCCAAATTCTGTCTATCCTTCAATGCCTAGCTTAACTGTTATTTTTTCTTTGAAACCCTTTTTTATTTCCCAAACTAAAAGTAATCTTTTTTTTTTTTTTTAACTAATCTTTATTCCCTCCTTTGAACATTCACAGCACTTTAGCTGTACCTCTTAGGGCATTTAACTCTACCTTATGTTAGATATTTACATATTTAACATTAGCTTCTTTTTTTAAAAATATTTATTTATTTGACAGAGAGAGACACAGCGAGAGAGGGAACACAGCAGGGGGCAGGGGGAGTGGGAGAGGGAGAAGCAGGCTTCCCGCAGAGCAGGGAGCCCGATGCGGGGCTCAATCCCAGGACCCTGGGATCATGACCCGAGCCGAAGGCAGACACTTAACGACTGAGACACCCAGGCACCCCTTAACATTAGCTTCTTAAGAGCATAGGCATTGTATCACTAGTTTTATAATTATCCCAGCATCTCCCATCATCCCACCTTAGTTCTAGCTTGATACGTATAACAGGTTCTTGGTGAATAAGTCCTCATTTTTAAAGTATAAATTAACCTTGGGACACCTGTGTGGCTCAGTTAGTTAAATGTCCAACCCTTGATTTCAGCTCAGGTCATGATCTTAGGGTCATGAGATCAAGTCCTGTGTCGGCCTCTGTGCTGGGTGTGGAGCCTGCTTAAGATTCTCTCTCTCTCCCTCTGCCCCTCCCCCCATGCGTGTTCCCTTTCTCTCTCTCTTAAAAAAAAATTATAAAGTATATATTAACTTTGTTAGGTTTTTGCAAGTTTTTTTTATTACTTCAAAATTCTTCCACTATGACTCCAGGGAGAAAAAAAGTCATTAATTTATTTTAAAAATTATAACTAAAAAGCCTACGTGGGCTGTAATGACTATAAAATAGGTAGGCATAGAATAAAGAGCGAACTATTTTTATGGGGTTTTTTTTGAAGATTTTATTTATTTGACAGAGAGAGACACAGCGAGAGAGGGAATGCAAGCAGGGGGAGTGGGAGAGGGAGAAGCAGACTTCCCACTGAGCAGGGAGCCTGATGCAGGGCTCGAGCCCAGGGCCCTGGGATCATGACCTGAGCCGAATGCAGACGCTTAATGACTAAGCCACCCAGGCGCCCCAAAAGCAAACTATTTTTAAAAAGAACTAAAACTACATCCCTAAAATACAGAGTATTCTTTCTGATGAGAATGTAAAGATCAGTATAAGATCCTTGCTATCTACTTCATGTCTAACATTGGTTGCAAAATTCCTGAACTTGTAGAGTATATAAACAATTAGATTTTCAAAGGAGTATCCCAGAAAAATTTCTGTGCAAGTAGTAACAACCTTTGGAGGTATAGATTATAAGACTCTTTAACCAGATGTGAATTACTCATATGTTGGTATACACTGGGTAGTCCCTAGAACTTTTTTTTTTCTTAATGAAGGGAATTAGAAGTGGAAGGTGTTCTCCTAGGAATAATTTCTACTTATACAAACTAATTTTTCTTTAACTGGTGATTTTTTTCTGGTCCCTGGCTAACTTGAAAAGCTTCTGTGACCTTTGCAAAGACTCTGAAAAGGAAATTTCTGATAATATATTCTAAAGCCTTATTAACTTTTCAGAAGCATAAATGAAAGAGAGAGAGAGAGAGAAAGGATCTGAGAATTAATATAGCATTGGGGTAAAGAGCAGAGGCTTTGAAGAGGGATGGAATTGGATTTGAATCCTGTTACTGCCACTCACTTAGTAGTTAGTTGTATAACCTTGGGTAAGTTACTTTATATCTCTAAATCTGTTATATATGTAATGGGGGTAAAAATAACTCAAGAGTTTTATGAGGATTAAATGGAATCATGCCTGTAAATTACTTGGCAGAGTGATTCACTGTTGTTGCACAGTAAATGTTAGATACTATTACTGTGATGATATCCTAGGGCCAGCCATTAAAAATTCATCCATAGATCCTTAGAATCCATTATGACATGTTTGACATGCCATGTGTGGTTGTTATACTCAAATTAGTATATGCATAGGTGGATTTGTGAGTGACTAATGAGTCAGTAGAATTAAGAATTCTACTTTTAGTTTTCCAGTAGGAACTCAAGTGCAACCAGCAAACCAGAAAAGATAAGTCTATGTTGAAGTTGGAGTTTACTTTTGCATAGGTAGTTTTTCTATCAGGAGATAGGATTTTACCCATTTGCGGAGCAACTACTAAATGCCAGTTGTATTAGATTCTTTTAAAAGGTATGTTATTTGGGGAACCTGGGTAGCTCAGTCAGTTAAGTGTCCAACTCTTGGTTTCAGCTCGGGTCATGAGATCGGCCCCATGTCAAGCTCCCCACAGAGTGTGGAGCCTGCTTAAGATTCTCTCCCTCTCCCCCCCCTTACTTCTCCCGCCCTCCCCACACACATGTGCGCTCTCTCTCTCTCTCTCTAAAAAAAAAAAAAAAGAAAGAAAAGAAATCATATTTTATTCACTTGCTATAATCCAAGGCAGAAAGAATTTAAATAATTTGAATTTGCCCAAATCCATACTGTAACTGTTAGGGATTTACAGGGTATTATAGGGAAATGGTAGGAACTGTGAGGAATTTGAACTCTTCTCTCATTCCAAATCATTTACCTTTGTATTCCTAGCGCCCCTCTTTCAACTTGGGGAACTTTAAAAATTATCAGTGCCTATGTCACACTTCAAGCCATTTAAAGCAATTTCTAGAAGTGAAACCCAAGCATCAGTATTTTTAAAAGCTCCTTAGGTGATTATTGTTATATGAATTGAGAACTACTGATCTGTTCAGTGCCAGAAGAGAGTAGATGTTCAATAAATGTTTGATTGTTGAAAGAATGTATACCTAATGGTGCAGTTGCTCCATTGTAATTCCCGTATTATAGTCCACCTAGAGTGCCTTTGTACTAACTCAAGTCTTTCAAAGGGGCTTTGTATTATGCTTTGTATATATTCTCAATTTGCCCCCATGGCATATATAGGAAGATATTTGGCAGGAGGTAACGTTTTGTGGCTGACAGAATTCTGAATTTCCTCCATTACTGAGGAAAATAGGTATGGAAATAGGGTAAGGCTCAGGATTCCTTTCTTGTATTTCATCCAAGGTTGAAGACATAGGTTGTAAATAGACATTTAGTGGTTATTTTTGTTTTAGAATAATTTTTTAAAAATAATTTGTGATTCAAAAATCAAAAGATAGAAAGGGATGTACATTGAAAATTGTCCCTCTCATCTCCCAGTCATAGTTCCCCTCCCAGAATATATCAAATGTTATATCAGTATTCTTCCAGAGATATTCTAAACATATATAAGAAATTATATTTACACATACTTCCCATTTTTACCCAAAAGTAGTATGGTGCATCGTTTGTTTACTTAACAGTGTATCTATATACAAAGAATATAATCAGCATATAATTGCTTCCACCTTTTTATAACTAAATATTATTTCTCTGTGTACCACAACTTATTTTCATCTATCACCTGTTGTTGGATATTTAAGTTGTTTCTAATTTTCTCTATTATAAACAATGCTACATTAAATAGATAAGTCATTTCACTTCTGCATCAGTGTATCTTTGGATAAATTCCTAGAAGTTCAAGGCATTGCCAGTTTGCCTTTTATGAAGGTGGTATATTGATGGGTTGGAAATAATAAAAAAAGCATGAAATAATGTGAGGGATTGAAAATATAAAGAAGAAATACTGACCAAAAAAGACTATTGCAGGAATGATATTAAAATGGCTTGAGAGGATAGGACAGAGCAAGGAGAGAGAACTAGTAGGTTTTGTGGTGTATATACATGAGATATATTTGTGATTAAAATATACTAATAAATTTTTTAAAATCCTAGCAATTTTACTCTTAAATCTTAACTTGAACTTTTTAAAACACATCTTTAATGTGATGCTTTCTGTATGAAAACTGATCATTCTTTAAGAGATAATACCCTTGGAATTTTCCTTTCATATTTACATTTGGCATTTATTGATCAAGATTTTATCTTTTCATGCATAACTATTTTTTACATGAACTCTCTCTCTCTCTCTCTTTTTTTTCCTTAGCCCTGGAAGAAAGCGAGACTTTTCCCCTGTTTCTTGGAGTCAGTACTTTGAGTCCATGGAAGATGTAGAAGTAGAAAATGAAACTGGCAAGGATATATCCTTTGCAAAATGGTTTATTCTTTAGCAAGCTTATAATGCCGTCTAAGAAGACATATTCAGATTCTAAAATGTTCTTTAGTCCTGCTGTTTATCTCATTTTTATTCCCCACCTGTATTTGTACAGCATGGAATTTAACCTGTAAGTCTATGCCAATTTCGTACTTGGATACAATTGTCTAATGCATGGGGGAAGGATTAAGAATTAAATTCCTGAAACTGATATATCTCTTAAGGCCCCAGGGGAAGGTTTCATGAATCAGGTGAGTTGAATCAGTTTAGCATCTAGAAACCAGGGACTAAATGTCCTCATTAGGGCAAAGGGTGTCTTTTTTTTTGTCCCCGTTGAAAAAGTGGTCATACTGGCTCCATGCTTCAAAAACAGGTTTGGTATTTCAGAAACTTTTATTTAAGTGTCTCTTAAGTTTGGAAGTCTGCAGCTTTACATAAAGCCTCGTGTACTGCCTGAGTTTTCTAGTCAGTATTATTAATGATTAAATAATCAATCAAAAACTTCAGTGAGCAAAAGCTTAGATATATTATCTTTAACTATTCATACACTTTTCGAGTTTACAAGAGTGGTTCAGAGGGTCCTGTTCTACTCCTTCTGCATGGAGGAGGCCATTCTGCCCTTTCCTGGGCTGTGTTCACGGTAAGTAAGTAGTTGATAATAGAAGTTGATGTTAGCACAATCATTGTTCACTTCTGGATGAATTTGACTAACCTCATTCTTCCTTCTGTATTCATTCATATAGCTTGATATAAGAACGGTAGGGGTGTGAGTTGATTGTGAATATTTTTCATGTTAGGTCCAAGATCACATGTTCTTTAAAGTTCTTAACTGGGGTAAGCTTTAGTGCATGAATTCTTCAAACATTTTATAAAATGTTCTATATATATTGCATTGGGATGAGGGAGATGGGATTTGTTCCTGGTCAAACGTGGGGGTCTGTATCTAAGTAATCTAAGTAATAGATAAGCAGAAATATTCTATTCAAGTTCTTTAGGTAGAGATAATGTTTGTCTTTATTTGTCTCCTTCATAGACCCTAGCATAGTACTTTGCACATGGAGATGTTCCCTAACTATTTGGAAAGATTTTTTTCTTTTTTAAAATAATGCTTTATATTTTAATGATACTTGTGAGCTACTGGGAAGTAAACAATATTTAGTTGATGGTACCCTTGTCTAGAGTAGAAGATGTATGTCTATGTCAATGCTACCAGTTCTAGATCTTCCTGATGTTCTTGACTGTGCAAGGAGAGGTGCTGCTAAGGAAAATACTAGCAACATTCCTATTAAAATGAGATTGTCCTTTCTTTTGGCTTATATCAGGGAGATTTACCTACTTCTTCTGTTTACCTCTAAGGAGTCTGAGGGACAGAAAATGGGAGCAAGTGGGAATGCAGTGCTAGGTAACTGGAGCTAGATGGCTATGGAATTGAGGAGGGTCCTGAACATACTGTTATGTTCCTGGCAGCAGGATTACTGGGAATAGTTCTCAACACATAGGCACTTACTCATCTGTTATTAAATTATTAAATGATTTGATTCCTATCTTGTTTGCTACTTCCTTTCAAAGTAGCAAACTTTAGGACATAGCTGATTTGCCTCTAAGTGCCAGGCTCTTTCATCTCCCTACACCTGTGTCATCCAATAGAAATATAATGCAAACCATATATGTAAATTTTTTGCCACATATGTAATTTTAAAATCTAGTAGAGACATAAAATAGGTAAAAAGAAACAGGTGAAATTGTTTCTAATAATATATATCTTATTTAACCCATTGTACCCAAAGTAGTATCATTTTAGTAGATAATCAGTATAAAATTTACTACTGAGATATTTCACTTTATTTTTTATACTGTCTTTGAAATTCTGTGTGTATTATAGGCACTTATAACACAGCTCCAGTTTGGACTCGCCACATTTCACATTTAGTAGCATCACTTTGATCATTAACGTTCTAGATAACTAACAACTAGATAACTAGATTGTGAGGTGAAGACCATGGGTTAGTTATGCCTGGCACATAATTGTATGCTCAAGAAATGTTTCTTGAATGAATGAGTAATGGCATCACATGCCTGTTCCTAATGTAGCAACTATAGTAGTAAGCATATGTAGTATAGTAGTAAGTAAATGTACTCTGGTTGCCCTGAACCAATAGAACAAGACATGTAAGCCTTTATTCTCCAAATACAGTCTTCTTATACTTCAAGGTTTCTTTGAAAATTATGTAAAATAATGGACTGTGAAAACTGTAAATTTTAAAGTCATGTACAAATATTATAATAAGTGATTTGTTGACATATATTGATATTAAATATTTTTATCTCATAGAAATGATGAAATAACATGGAAAGTGACTGGCATAGAGGAAGTGATTGATAAATAACTGCTGACATTATTATACATGTTATTGTAGAGGAAATCTCTAGTTCTTCTTTTACCAAAGTATAGTCTACAGATTACAAGTGCCATGAGATATCAATGAAATAGGGGTTTTGTGATTAAATGAGCTTAAGAAATATAACATATATATATATCTTTCTCCGATTTCTCTCAGAAATTCACTATATATCAGTATGTTATTAAAGCCTTCAGGATGTTCTTCTAAATAAATCTATTTCATTTCAACTATGTCTTCCAAATGTATTTGACCACTCAGTTTCTTTTTTCTAAAACATCTGTTGGCATCCCATACTTTGTGAAAGTCTTTTATAGATAGGTCATTATGTCCCAGTTGTTTACCTGGTTTACTTGTATAATCAAGGAAATTCCTTACCACTGAGCTTAATAGCTGGTTAAATTTACCTGCCCTTTTTTGTTGTGATTCCTGACAGTGTACCAGCCCACTGAATGAGTTTATATGTGGTAGTGCTTTGAAAATAAAAACGGCTATGTAAAAGTTAGTGCTCTGGCAATTGACTTGACTCCAGAGGTCATATTTTTGTAAGCACTAGAACATGATCCAGAAGGCAGCCATGGCAAACAGCAGGAATAAGCCCAAGCACCTCATGATCCTGAGAGACAGACTTACCCTCAGACATCCACCCAGATGATGATTGGTACAATACTGTAGTAAAATAGAAACAAAAAGACACTAGCATAGCAGCGGGACAAGTATACTGACAGCCAAAGGAAGAGATGAACAACTCTGATTGATATTTATGATGCTAGATCATGAGATCCTTGACAGCAGGAACTGTGCCTTACTCATTTTTGATATGACAGCATACAGGGCCTGTCCTGCAGTTGGTGCTCAATAGTTATTCCTTGAATAGTTAAAACTGACTTTGAACAATTAAGAAAAGGATAAATTTTGTTCATTGTATCCTGTTTGAGAAAGCAGAAAAGATGTAATCATTCTAAAGGCTTTATCAAATGTTAGTAAGTCATTTACATATGGCTGATACATAAAGTTATATAACATGGTTAGAAAAATCCCAGACACAGGATATGCAAGACCAAAGGACATGAAGACACAGTTCATGGAGAACAAACAGACATGAGAAAGTTCATACTCACTAGTAATCAGATATGATTCACATGGGAGGTATCATTTTTTTTAGATATCAAATTAATATTTTCTAAAACGAATTCTCAGTGTTGGCAAAGGCATTAGAAAACAAATACTTTCAAACACTGGGACTAGAAATCACATCTTCTAGCTCCTACTTCATTGTTCTTTTCCTTAGTGTCAAATAGAGCGCTCTTGGAAAGTAATTTAGCACTTTGATTGAATTATCAATATATTTATACCATTTGACACAGACGTCATACTTCTAGGAATCTGTTCTAAGGAAATAATACCAAATACGTGAAAAGCTTTTTGTCTAAAATTAGCAATCCCAGTGTCCAACAATAAGTAAATGGTTAAATAAACTGGATGTACCTATAAGACATAATATTATGCAATGTTTAAAAACAGTTCTCCTAGGGGGCACCTGGGTGGCTCAGTCATTAAGTGTCTGCCTTCAGCTCAGGTCATGATCCCAGGGTCCTGGGATCAAGCCCTGCATTGGGCTCCCTGGTCAGTGGGAAGCCTGCTTCTCCCTCTTCCATTCCCCCTGCTTGTGTTCCCTCTCTCGCTCTGTCTCTCTCTGTCAAATAAATAAAATAATAAGAAAAAAAGGAAAAAAATTAGAAAAAATAAAAACAATTCTCCAGGGGAGCCTGGGTGGCTCAGTCAGTTAGGTGTGTCTGCCTTTGGCTCGGGTCATGATCTCAGATCAAGCGCCTCATCAAGCTGCCTGCTCAGTGGGAAGCCTGTTTCTCCCTTTCCCTCTCTCTCGCAAATAAATACATAAAATATGAAAACAAAACAAACAATTCTTGGGGCACCTGGGTGGCTTGGTCGGTTAAGTGTCTGCCTTCGGCTCAGGTCATGATCCCAGGGTCTGGGATCAAGCCCCACGTCAGGCTCCCTGCTCAGTGGGGAGCCTGCTTCTCCTCCTCCCTCTGCAGCTACCCTGCATGTGCGTGCGCGCTCTCTATCTCTCTGTCAAATAAATAAATAAGTCTTTAAAAAATACAAATAAATACATGCATGCATACATACAATTCTTCCTGGACACTTTGGAAAAAAACTGATTTTTTTTCTGTTTTTTTTTTTGTTTTCTAGATTTTGTTTTTCAGTTGTATGTATATATCTTATTACTTTTGTAACTTAAAGATTTGTTTTTTCTTAATGGAAACTATTTTCAGAGGAAAAAGTTTGTATTCAATTGAAAGTTTGTATTCAGTTCTGGATACCACAAGTTAAAGGGACACTGGCAGACTGGAACTTGTCCAGGAAAAAGCAGCCATGATTAGAATACTTGAAACTATAGCAGTCAAGGAGCAGTTGAAGGAACTGAAAATGTTTGGCCTGAAAAAAGGAAAGACTTGGGAGATGTAATGTTTACCTTCAACTATAGTAATAATTTTTAAATGTCAACCAGATCTTTTAAACATTTACTAGATGCCAGTTACTGTGCTAAGTGCTTATGTGCATGATCCCATTTAATTCTTTCTGTATTTCTATAAAGTTAGGCAGATGAGAACATTGAAATTTAGAGGAATCACAGCCAATGACAGTACCAAAACTCAAATCTACCTATATCTGTCTCCAGTGTGCATGTTTCTCTGAAGACTGGTTCTGTACTACTGAAGAGTAAGGACTCAGGGCAGAAACCATGGAGCCATATTTTTGACACACATAAGGCAGAACTTGGAATGATTAGGACTATTTCAGAGCAGCTCAGGACTTCTACAGGGGAAAAGTAAGGATCATCTCAGTAGTGTACTAGCACAATGCATATTCGAGGATTTAATTATGAATGTATCTTTCAGAGTTCCTTCTTATCCAGCACTCTGTAAAATTCCTGGACCTGAATATAACTCATTTTCCATCTAAATGTTTTGTGGTTTTCTTTTTTTGGGAGGGTGATTCGGAGATTCACCCAAAGAAATCCTCTTAATTATCAAGAAAGCATTTTCTACTCTGGCTTTAGTAACAGGAGAAAAGTAAGTAAAAAGATAAATAAATAAAAGTAAATAAAAGATATATATATATAGTCATTTTTGTGGAACTAGCGAAGAGTTATAACTAATAGAGGGAAATTATGGTGTTTTAAAGGATCGGGTTTAGGTTTCTAGAAAATTAA